TATATATACACACACACACCATTCCACACTCACGAACTATTGTACTTCTACCGTAGCAAGTCTCGTCCCTACTGTAAGAATCATTCGCGCTCATGGCCAAGGTATATTTCGAAGTCGCTTCTGTCTGCACGAAGTGTGTTCTTTGGCACGAACTAACTTTCATGTGTAGTTTCATGAGGGTCAGCTGGTAAAGCGCACTGACCAGCCTGATGAGCCTGATACTATTTATGTCATACTCAGAGTGATCGCCGCTCTTGGAGACATCGCAAGATATATAATCGCTTTCAGAGACGGACGACTTAACAACCAAGAAATTGAAGTAAAGGAAGCAGACTTAGTAAAGGCTTAACCAGGCGAGGAATTTGGGAGGGTGTCTACGTCTAGAGGTAGAGATTTTGAATAGTGTGTGTAGTTGGACAAATCGATTGTGTTCTGAGTGTGAAGTGGCATTCTTAGATCGCAGCTGCCATAAGTTCGCCATGTCTTCCTCTATGTGTATGTATGCAGCCGTTTGAAGCTCACCGGTAGATCCATTTCAGCCAGAGTCTGCCTCGCGCGACAAACACCAACGACAGCCAGTCTCTCGCGGTACCACATTCATGTAGTGTGCTGTAACAACGAATCAGCGAGTAGGTCATGAGACACAAGTTTATCTTTCCTGATGACTGCATATCGCGGTAATATTATTCTGCCACGTAGTTCTTGGCGGTAGCCTTGTGAGGGGGACAAAGTGAGGCTTTGCACACTCTATCATACATAAATCCGAAAGCCTGTCACAGAAAACAGAAAGACATCTCAGATACAAATTTCCATACAGCACTACGTCTACGTACATCCTTACGCAGTCACATTTTCTGTATACACCCCAAAGTCATCGAAACTTCAAAGAAGCATCATTGATCAACCGTCATAGGGTTCCTACAGCCATGGTATGTCCTAAAACGCCTTGATATATACGAAGCATTCGTGTTCCTGAAAACTAACCCCAGCGGGTAGTTCAATCAAGGCGACCGTGTAACGATCAACAATGGCGGAAATACTTACTACATTGTGGTAAACGTGATCAATATCGAAGGATCGCCCACCAAATACAAGATCCAAGAGGAGGGCTCTCCCGCAGGAGTTACCGAGTCAACTCAGCAATCCGTTAGCATGCAGCAGGATTCGATCAGCTTTCAGCAGAATACGGTCACCTATCAGCGGCAGGAAGTAGAGGAAGGTGTACTTTGTGCAGCTTGATTTGATCTATGTCCGCTTGAGTAGCTACAATCGCCTTTGGTAGGTCGGGTTTGCCGACACTGAGACGGTTGGATGCACTTGCAGTGCTGAGAATCTGACGTAGCCTATCAGCTACTCCTTAGGCAGGGATCTACCGCACTTTGGTCTGTCTCATTCACTTAGTAGCTGCAATAGCTGTCTTTGCACCTCTCAAGAATTTGGCCTTCCATAACATATGCTCTGAGCGGCGCAATATCTTCATTCATGGACTCTTTTGTAACTCAACGGAAATCACATTTGCAGCTAGATCCTATTCACTCTAGATACCGGATCGCAGCTGCTCTGACCCATCACATAACGGCTTCAAATATTGCTACAACGACAAAGGACCGCATACCGTCATGATGCTAAGCTATTACGCGCAGTCGATAGTGCGAACGTGACTGAACAGGATCAGCATGTACGCGATGTGGCACAAGGTCAGATCCGCTGATGATTACATGCTTCACTATGCTGGTCTTGCCACGTATGTCTCGGCGATAAGCTGCATAAATGGAAGGCGAGGCTCTGTGTGGTTCGTAGCATATATATTCAGGAGCTCGCTACATGTACCAGAAAGAACGCCCATACACAGACACACCGATGCACACCCACAAGCGTTGGAATAACGATACCCAGCCTACCCCCTTGTCTGCTAGAAGTTGCTTTACTCAATGTGCGCAGAAGTCAAGATACCAATTGTAAGTCTCCACAACGTTTCTGCGCGTATATGATAAGGAATTCATGATTGACTGATGTCCACATGTAGTTCCAACCGGGGGATCGCGTATTGTGCGCGGAAAGAACTAAGATATACATCGTAATAGGGAGGTGGGAATATGGTTATGGTCCCGGATATTGCATCGAGGAGGAGGATAGTAATGTGCGATTGGACGTAGCAGCGCTGGATTTGACGCCAATTAAAGTGTAGCACGATTTCGAGGACAGCTAATCTTACGCATCGAGCGAGATCTAACCGGCCAAAGGGATAGCATCTAATGGCGGTACTGAAGGACGATGTGAAGTTTACTGGATGTCTGAATCTGTGTAAGGCGGAATGAGAAAGTCTCCTAGAATGGTCATCCGATACGCCGGTATTATCGCACTCTCTACCTACCAGCTAGTCCGCTATACCCAAAGAAATGACCAAGGTGCTTTGAACACATTCGATAATTCTGATAGATGTCATAACTGGGCGTTGGATGACCTCGACCTCAGTAATGCAACGCTGAGATTTGTTGATGATGCATCTGGTTATTTGCGAACGTCGATGAACACTTTCATCATTCTTTTGAAGATATCTTGAGGAGTCTTCTGTTAAGCGGTAGCAGTGTGGAACCTTTGTGCGGGGTATATGTTACCTTTACATGACAAAATTATCCTTGGCAGAGGCGGGGTATGTAGCTTCCCAAGTCACATACGTCGCATTGCTCATTCATCCGTTTCATGGGTGTTTCGGCGTGCTACATTTACACAGTCCATCTTGCTCAGATCTGAGCATTCCTAAGCTTGCCCTTGTTCGAAGTCCACACCTACATCCCCTATCGTTTCCGGGCTTCGTGAAAGCACCATGGAAGAGACTAATGACAGCAACGACTCTATCACCACGAAAATAGAGGTTGCTACGCATGGTGACGTTATTCTTGTGGTCGGTCCGCACGACAAGAAGATTCGCGTCTGTTCCTCCGTCCTCAATAATGCGTCGAAGGTTTTCAGCGTTATGTTTGGACCCGACTTTGCCGAAGGCCAAAATCTGGATAGTCATGACCCCAAGGAGGTCCCCATGCCAGACGACAATGCACACGCCTTAGAAATAATTTGTAACGTTATCCATCTCCGGAACGATGTAGTGCCACGGTCTCTCAGTCCCAAGGATATCTTCGAAATCGCTATCGCTGCCGACAAATTCGATTGCGTTGTTGCGTTGAGATATGCCAGCGCAGCCTGGCTGAACCCCAAGGGTGTTGAGAATATCTTGGAGTTGAGTTATCTCATGTCTGCCGCCTACATTCTCGACGATGCACAGGCTTTCGGTGATATTACACTCTCGATGATGCTCGATCATAAAGATTCCTACCTCCCGCTCGCTGATCAAGGTGCCGGTCTTACTGACTGGGTTCCTTGGAAGGTTCTCTGTAAGTATCAATTTTGCCAAAGGCTTTGAGGACTCCGCTAACGCTATGGTCACAGATCTCTTAGAAGAGCGAAGAAACAGGATGCGCACAGAATTGCAGCAAATATTGTTCAATGGATCGACGGATGCCGGAATGGATGGGAGCAGTTCGTGCACTTGCGCATGGGGAGCTGTTCATAGTCTTGCTCACACAGAACTTCTACAACATGAAGATCTTCGGCCGTTGCAGGTACTGGATGTCACAGTATCAAAAATCGTTGAAAAGATGGAGCAGATGCGTGATCCACTCATGCCCAAGCAATGGGAACGCTGTGATTATCGCTGGCATGGAGAACCTCGCTATAGAGCAACGCGCGTTGACAGGCTAAATGGATTTCGTGAGAGAAACCGCCTCTGTATCGATTGCGTACGAGACGGAATCACGACTACGAACCAGGTTCACAGGACTAAAGGTTGCATCACTAATCAGAGGAAATTCCCATGGGAATCTTGATGGAGAGTAGTGCCAGTGCCTCATCATGTCAGTTTGGAAATATCTAAGCTATGCGGTATGATCCATCCGGCCATAGATTTGCGGCTGATGGCCGGAGTTAGAATCAGAAATTTGACAAGAGCTCCTTGACCACTTCATACGCCTCTTTGACCAGGCCTCTGGTCTCCTCGTCGAGACTAGCCTCATCTGTACTCAAAACTAATAGTCTTTCCTCCCATAGTTGCCACCGTTCCCTGTTCAGTCCGTCTTCTCTCGACCACAAGTCTGTCGGTTCGTCTAACGCCGCCTCCCACTCTTTCCTCAGCTCTCCATAGTCCGTGTTCCACAGTGCACGCGCCCCATCCCGCACCCAGGTTGCTGCCACACGAACGTCCAGCGCCCACAACTGCTCAGCCGACATCCTGTGCTTATCTGGCTGACGGGGTGGGGGCTTCTCGTGCTCGAGTACATCCTTACAGGTGTAAAATACCCATATAGTCTCATGTGCGGGCTGTTCCTTGCTGCGTTTGAGCAGCCTGGTCGAGAAGTTGACGAAGCGGAGCCATCGCTGACTGCAAGTAATACTCGACCTGAGATTAGGCGTACCGCTTTCAGAGTCTGCATCTTGTATGCTGGTCCAGTCACGCCATTGGTGAAGCGTGGCATACGTGTCGTACCATTCCCAACCAAATCGCGGCAGTTGCGACCAATGTAATCTGCCGTCCGCTTTAGTATGGCTGCGAAGTGCCTCCTTTACATCCCTTGTTGTTTTGGATAAATTGTTGGGCAGTGTGGGTGGCTGTGCACGGATGGAATCAAGGAGAGCAAAATGGGCTTCGGGTGAAGATGAAGATATGACAGATTCGAAGAAGGCCGTCCATAGTTCCCAGAGTGCCGAGGAGGGGTTAGAAGAGGTAGTGACCGCCTCGACGAGATGTTTGGCTGTTTCCTCAGCTAAAGAAGAGTAGTCGCTTGAGGCGACAATGGCGCTTATCTGCGGTAAGAAGGTATTAGGCGGGTAGGTACCTGGTGTGTTGAAAATGGTTGTCATATTGTTGGAAGGGGAATTGCGACGTGAAGCAATCAAAGCCGATCTGGGATAGAAGGTGCTTTTGAACTTCGATCCTCCTTTATATGGATCGATGCGCACTTCGGCACTGTATTTGGAAGAGGTAGACGTCATGCTCAGATAATCAGGTAGGCGCAGCCAGGCATCCACAACCACGTGATCTGCCATCACATGATCGATTCACATAAGTGGCTACGTTCGGAGACCGAAGCGCAGTCATTTGGTCACAGAACAAGGCTTCCCATAGCATAGGCCACATCACAGCCGCAGCAGCCGGCTAGGCAAGAAGTACCAATTTAGAGTTTGCGGGGCGATGCACGCTGCCTGCGGCCCGCTAGTTTTCCTACCCGGGTAATCCACCCCACAATTTGCTTATAGCAGCTAAGCCGCGGGCCTTAATTGCATCATGCATCGTTCCACCTCATGGGCGATGTTTTGTTAACTTTCACAACGCCTGCAGCATCCCCAGCTGCGATCGCAGACCCGTACTGCAATCACTGCCTGTGCGCCGCCCATCAAACATGCACTCTGGCTAGCTGTCTGCTTCCAGAAATTCTACGTGAGTCGGTCCTAGTTCATCTTCTCGCGTTACTCTGTTCCTCAGGCCTTTTAACGGTAAGACCCGAAGCGCTATGATCCTCGGCGTCGTACGGTTAAATAAGGTTACGACAAGCGCAAAGATCTACAGTCAGGCCGACCGCCTACTTCCTGATGCATCCATGAGTGTAGGAATACTTTTGTGTCTTCCTGAGGACGTCTGATTTGTATGGCAAGAGTTATTTGTTTGTGCTCTGAAGAACGCTTGGATCGTTGTATGGCTTTTCCTGATGTGTCATCGGGTATAGCTTCAAGTTCGTATTTAACATCAAGATGAGATGTTTGACTGTGGGGACGAAGACGATAAGTTCAAGGCAGCCTATAGGGGCCAAAACTATGCCAAGCACATATGTGCGTTGCAGCCTATGGCCCACAGACCAAATATGTACCTTGTAACTATAGCAGTGCTGATGGGAACGCCTAAGAGAGCATCGAGATGACTATCATGGTCGTATCGCAGGCTTTCTGGTGATCCTGTCAGTCAAATCAGCCATGTCGGGACCTTGTCAATGTATCCACCCAACAGCGCTATTGTGTTAGTCAATCCGAGAGCTTCGCCCGATGACGAAGGAAAGCATGATAGTGACATCAATATCCATCACTGGGGTGCTCAGCTGATACTGGCGCTAAGTCAGTTCGACTTCGACAACCTCGTCTGAGACCATCGAGATGCCTGAGTGGGTTGCCTCTTCACTCTACACACGGCCCGAGAAATGTGGATCAAAAGTGAAGGGAGCGGTATTGTGACTGGTACCACGTTCCTCAAACATACCTCGAGAAGCGCACGAAGGCATAACGCTGTTCCTTAATGGAAGGCCTAATATGTCTTTGAAAGGCATATAAACTGGCCGCTGCCGGAGGTATAGCATCTTCATCACTGCACTACACTTTCATCTCAAGCCACTATCACTCACAATATCAGACCGTCTTCAGTCTTCCTTACACCATGCACTTCTCACCATCAACCATCCTCCTGCCACTGGGCCTAGCCCTTGTGCATACATCCTTCGCCAACCCTGCGCCTGCCGGAATGTTGAGCAAACGAACTGTTGACAACCTCCCGCCCAGCGACCAGTTCATAGCTTGCCCAGGATACAGATACAGTCGTGAGCAGGTCGAAAAGGCTATTCAGCAAGCCATCTACAATACACCTACCACCGCGCCTCAGCCAGGTATGCGTATAGACTCGCTCTGTGAAGAATGTTCTCCTTGCTAACCTCTTTCTTCTCGATTTCAGGCGGCTACCCTAAAACTTTTGGCAACAACAGGAAGCTGAAGTTTTCCGACAAGTGCAACGGCAAGACGCTGAAAGAATTCCCCCTCTTGCATGGAGATAAAATCTTTGGTGGTGGCGACCAGGGTCCGGATCGGGTTGTTTTCTACATTTACACAGACAACCCCGATACTGACCCAACGGATGATGGCGCATACTGTGGCGTGATGACGCATGATGGTGCACCTGCGAGGGAGTTCGCCCTCTGCCCAGTAGAGGACTAGCGGGAACGAGTGCAGGAGATAGAGATATCGATGAAGAAATTGAAAACGCCTTACAACGATCTAGACACATCATTGAACTACCGTTTCTCTTGCGTAGTCACATTTATAATGCGTTCAAGTGAAAACACTCTTCTTACCACATTCAATAGAAAACCTCAATCTGTGTGAGTATAACATGCCTTAGCTTACAGCCTTCATTAGCTTCCACTGACATAAGTCGTAAACACAAATAGCGTTGTAAGCCTTGCTGTCCTTGTATGCTATACAACAAGCTAAGCTGGATGCTGAACGCCTGATAGCAATGCTTTATTTCATATCAAAGTCCTGCATAGGTAAAACTCCTTTCAGTAGTACTCGGCCGTCGAGATTGCCAGATGCCATTGTTAGCGCTGCATGTTGGGACCACAGATGGCGACGGAGTTTTCCTTGCCGATCGCAGAATACCTTGAGTATCTTGTTGTATTCATCGATGTGAAAGGCTTGGCAATAATGGCCCTATGTTTCCATATGAACTACCTCATTCTGATCAAGGCGTGGTTTGATCAACGCAGGAACGGTTGAATCCGGATGTCCACTCGTAATTTTAAAGAGACCGGACACTTGAGGTGGAAGATGGAACAGCTCAATAAGCTCCTGGGCGTTGTTACTCAATACTCCCGTGTAGCATACCCCCCACACCATGGACTCAGCGGCGAGGAGGATATTTTGGGAAGCCGGGACCGCATCTATCGATGACACGAGAAACATATCCATGTACTCCAATTCCGTGTCTGATTGATCTTCACAGCCCAATATCCTGCTTAGACGACTGAAGTCTGCACAGAATAGCATGAAGAGTGCAGCTTGTCGAATGAAGTCTTGACCACCAGCAAGGGTCGCGACCTTTGGCTTCGTGTTTTGGGGTCTGAACTACAACTGTACTACACGTCTGTAGACCCGAGCAAGTATAAGCACTCCGGCCTACAGTGATGGTGATTTCGACAGTGTTTGGTGAGACAAGATCCGACTTAAAACTGCGGGTTGATTTGTGGCCAAGAATGGTCTGAATAGTAGGATTAATGGGGTCTAGGTCGGAGAAAGAGCGTTCATTTGGGTATTGGATCTGGTAGCTGTCTAGAGTTCGAACGTCCATGATGTACGTCGCCAGAAAACACCTGAGTGAGGAAGTCAATTGCTTTAGAATGATCCCATGGTTTGTACTTCGAAAGCAGCCCCTGATCTTGGTACTTCAATGGCGATCGTGCTGTTACTTTACGAACTCTTCTCCTGTTGTTGTATTTGAAGAAATCAGTTGTTTCGGCAGAGTATACCTCTTCCCGGCGCAGTAGTTGGAATATTTCTCCAAGATTCAGAGTAGAGCCAACCGGTATGCATGAATGCGACGAAATATCGAAC